GAGCGCCGCTGCGCTTCCCAAGCGGCGCACTTATCCAGTGCGCCACCGGGCCGGCCCGGGAGTGAGTGTTTATTGGGGGCAGAGCTTCAGTTTGGGGAGATGAGAATGTTCTGGAGATGACGGTGGTGATGGCTGCACAGCCATGTGAATGGGCTTGTAGTGGATTGAATTGTGTCCCCTAAGTTTTATGTATTAGAAACTTGATCCCCACCGTGTTAAGAGGGTGGGAAATCCTATTAGGGTCATTGAAAGGTGGAGCCTTGGAGAGGTGATTGGGTTCAGGGCCTCGCAGTAGTGAACAGATTAAAAATGGTGCTCGGGGCGTGGTTCTGGGGGCTTTACAAAGAGAGTGAAGCAGGAGGTTACTCTCCGCTCTCCCTGCTCCACCATTTTCGCAATGTGACACCCTGCCGTCACTGTCATCACCGCCAAGGCCCTCACCAGATATGTTCCCCGGACTTTGAACTTCTTAGCCTCCAAAACTGTAAGCAATACTTTTCGTTTTCTTTGCAAATTACCCAGTTCCATGTATTTTGTTATAAACAACAAAAAGTGGACTAATACAGTACTTCATGCTGCCGAGCTGTGCGCTTAAAAATGGGTAAGGTGGTAAATTTTGTTATGTATATTTTACCACAATATTTTTTTTTTTTTTTTTTTTAAAGATGACCGTTGAGGGGATCTTAAGCCTTGACTTGGTGTTGTCAGCACCACGCTCTCCAAAGTGAGCTAACTGGCCATCCCTATATGGGATCCGAACCTGTAGCCTTGGTGTCATCAGCACTGCACTCTACCGAGTGAGCCACAGGCCGGCCCCTATTTTACCACAATTTTTAAGAATGACGATTAGGGAGACTTTTCTATGGCATGAAATGATGGGGAGATGCTCAGGGTATGACGCTTTGCTCAAACAGAGCAGGACACACAGCCGCGGGTCACGGTCCCCGGTTTCGTCTGCTCTTGTCCTTCCCCCCGGTTCCCTGAGCTGGCTGGGACTGGGCAGCGAGGAGCCTGTGGGGCATCGGGACAGGGGCAGCCCAGGGACACTTACTGTAGGACGCAGTCTGGGATCTGAACGTGCTCCATGGGAATGAGCTGCTGCAGATCTTCCAGGCTGTGCACATACTGGATTTTACTGATAAACTTGACGCTGGTAGGAAGAGAGAGAGGGAGAGGTCTGAGATCCAGCTGGCAGGGTGGTCACCCAGGGTCCAGAAGGAGTGATGGTGGCAGATGCACGTGGGACCCCACTCCCTGCCCGGTCCCCCCATTCCTCCTGGGGTGGAGAGAGCCGATCCCAGGTCTGGCTACAAAGCCATGTGTCCCTGTGGAGTGAGGATCTGGTTTCAAGGACGTAGAGAGGCAAGAAGATTCTATTGGACTCTAAGCTGTGTTTTGCGTCATCTCTAAGAGTCTCTTGTCTATGTTAATTTTTCCCAAGAATGTGTCCTTCCATGTCACTGTCCAGGACGGCGGCAAAGATCATCTGGGCACTAGAATGGGGCAGGTGGGATTTCTGATCCCCTCTCTGTT